TGACAAAAGATTTGATTTCTTGGAAATGAGTATTAAAAAAAGAAAAAGTTAATTTTGCAGCCGGTGGCATCAACAATCAATACATTAGCAGGAGCATTGTATAAAGTATTTTGTGCATCAGCAGACGAAGCAAGGCAAGAAATGCGAGAAGCATGCTTTGACTATTTGAGCCTCGGAGGCGTCTTTTCAAATGGACCTGTATCTTTGCTCTCCGGTTTAAATCCTCGGCCTTTGAGTTTGGTTGTGCATTTCTTTGCTGTGGCAATATTCGGTGTTGGTCGCTTGTTATTACCTTTTCCTTCCCCTAAAAGAATGTGGATTGGTGCCCGATTAATCTCGGTCAGTATTGCTTCTTTTTTCTTTTATAATTTCACTTAAATTATTCAAATTCCATTAATAAAACATAGAAGAAAATATTAAAGAAGAAGAAAGAAAAGGAAAGGTGGACTTGTTCCCACTTGACATATGGCAGTCTCGGTTGCCTTATTATTTCTTTCATAATTTATTATATATATATATATATATATATATATATATATATATATATATATATATATATATATATATATATAAAATGAATGATTAAGGCTTTTTTTCCCACTTGACATATGGCAGTCTCGGTTGCCTTATTATTTTTTTCATAATTTATTATATATATTAATAAAATGAATGATTAAGACTTTTTTTCCGAATGAAAGAATGTTGTTATAAATGAATTTAAATAGAATGGAAATTGATCATAGATAATAGTGTTTTTAATGAAATAATGTTCGTAATTATATATATATATATATATATATATATATATATATATATATATATATATATATATATGGGAAAAGTGAATATACCCTTAAGGGTATATAAGCTTAGGTACCCAAACATATCATAATATGTCATTTTCTTTGATATATTTATTATAATGTTTTTAAACTTCAACCTTAACTTGATTTACTTTCAAAATATTCGAAATTTCACTATTATCTTTCTCTTGAATCACATCTTTTTGCCGAACATCTACTAGGCTATATATATTGTAGTTGAAAATGAAAATTATGTAAGAGGAACATAAATGTGTAATTTACAAAAATCTTGGAAGTACATCAAGTAAGAAGTTAAATTATAAGAACGTTGGACAATTAGAATGTATTATATGATACAAAACGACTTAATATGGTGTGTTTGGGTACCTAAGCTTATATACCCTTAAGGGTATATTCACTTTTCTCATATATATATATATATATATATATATATATATATATATATATATATATATATATATATATATATATATATATATATATATAGCGTTAGGTTATTTTGTTTTCACTATCTATTATGTCTATGTATGATTGATTATGGACCAATCATTTTAGTTATTTTAAGAAAGTAATTAATACATATTACATGTTGAAGATATAGTGGGTATTAATTACATCTTTAGCATTTAATATGCATTAATTATTTTTTTAAAATAACTAAAATGATTAGTTCATAATCAATTATACATGCACACAATAGATAGTGAAAACATTTGAACCTAACTATATATATATATATATATATATATATATATATATATATATATATATATATATATATATATATATATATATATATATAAAGTTGGAATTGTGTATATTGATGACAGAATATATTTTTACGTAAATGTTGGGTTGACAGTAAACATAGTCGTACACCAGCTGGCAGCTACTTAGATTCATACCCAACAATACATGATGCTCTTGGGGTGGCCAGAACAATAAATCTATCTATTTATTTATTTTAATGAAATTCAAATCTAAAAATTGGCATACCATTAAAACGATGCAGGGTGCGTCTGGAATCATATTTCCGATCATAAAAGCTGAAGGAGTACGGCAGATGTTCTTCCCTGCGACAGTGCCTGCATATTACAGAGCTCCTCCCACTCAATGAACAACAAGAGGAAGACCCGGGTTCGAATCCCGGAACCCCCCAATTCCGTTTCAATTTTTTATTTAAAAAAAAAAAAAAAAAACAAGAGGATGAGGCTTTCAATTGTATTATAGTCTTTACTCTAGTCTTCATATTTGATTGTCTTTCTTTATAGAGTGTTGGAGATGGTCATCCACACTCAAGGGTTTAGCGGTTAGTTATTAGGTTTGAGTTTCAGGTATGTAATCTGATTTCGTATTTTGTTATAGATTTTAATACATCATCGTATATCCAAAATACCTGGTAATGTAGTAAAATCATCCCAAGCTTCAACACACTTAAGCATAAAGATTTACTTCTAAGTGAACAAATTAAAATCTTTCCCTCTGATCTTAATTACAACATAAGAGAATGCTAAAATAGAAAGTTGTTCCTTAATGTTGTTAATCGTAAGAGTCCTTGTTGATTGGTCGTGTTTCTCTTAGGTTTGAATTCGTAATATACAGTATAAACTAATTCAAGTGTTTTTGTGTCAACAGTCAACCCTATATTCCACCACCTCCCTTGAACCCTTCTAAACTAACTTAATACCCATTTGGTGAGCAAGTTAGCCGGTAAATGAATTATCATTCATTAATTGTATGATGTCACTATCTATGCAAATGATGATGTCTTACATGGTGCACCAATAATGAAATGAAATGAAATGTGGATGTAAAACCAATGTAATGAATTCCAAAAATTTGATTTATACAGAAAATAGTAACATAAGCATCCTAATTTCCAGCATTCATATACAACATATCAAATTATGTTGTTATTTTTACATCTATTCCAAACTTAAAAACTTGAAAATTTTAAATGTAATTAGAAGCATTAACTACTATTTATGTAAACCATTTACTTAATATGTGAACAAAAACAGTACTTTAAATAACCAAAACATGTCATAGAAAAGTAACATCATAGTACAACTCTCAAAGATCTCATAAAACAGAAATCATGGTGTGATGCGTTGCGATCATGTGAGCTCCTTTCCTTTTGAAGAAGAAGTACCTAAAACCAAAACTGAAAACCGTAAGCACAAAAGTTTAGTGAGTTCCCCCATCATACCACATAATCACATACTGTCAGGCATATCTCGCATGCATGACCTTCTAGGGCTTAAAAGACCAAAAAGATTGTCTAAAAGTTGCATGGGACTTCCATGGCCATAAAGTTGGCATCTTTATGCCATGAAGTCCCCTCAAAACCCTAGATCTGAAGGGTTTGCCCAAGTGGGATGTCCAAATCCCAACCATCAATATATTTGGACCAAAACATGAAGCAAAACATCCTAAGACTAGATCTAAGCATGCCATAGACAAGGTTGAAGCTTTATACCTCAGAAAAACCAGAAATGAAGCCCAACTTCTAGATTTACTCTCCTTTTCATTTGTTAATTCTGTCTAATATTTATGTTTTATTATATGAAATAGCTATCTTGATCTAATGAAATATTTGTTTTCCTGTTTTGTAGTTGTTGGGCATTTAGTAATATTCAGTCGGTTAATTCGGTCCAGCAAAAAAACGAACCTTATACATAACACGTTTTATCGTAAGTAACAGTTTAGCTACTTTACCTAATGGGAGAAAAAGGAAACAACCCCTGCGAAATATAAATCTTATCTCAATTAATGACCTAAAATTCCATTTTTACACCTCAGGCTTGTAAGTTGAAAATAGGGGATGCGAAAGGACCATTGTTGGACACAAAATTTGCTTTGTGTGATCGTGCAACCAATCCAGGAGTTTTGTTGGACCCAAAATTCCATTTATACAAACCAATTTCACTTAATAGAATGATCTTTAATTGTTGGCAAAACAAATAATTATGTTCATATAGGCACATATGGCTCTGAGTGAGATAGATGTTGCAATGAATTAGATTAAAATTTTTGAGCTTGTGAACGAACCTATCACTTAATACAATATTATAATCAGAAATACTAAAAAATGAAAATTTATTTTATTTTTACCAATTAAATGCATTACAAATTAATGTTTTATGCAGAAAAATCATATTAATTTGGGGAACTTTTGATAAAATCTAAATTTTTTTTAACAATAAAGTCTCGATTATTTAATTTTACACAATAATTTGTCATTTCCTGTTAAAATAAAAATAAGATCTTTTTTTTGTTAATTTGCAAAAAATATTAAATAATCAAAACTTTTTTATTCTAGAACTTATCAAAAATTTTCTCAAAATATGCATAAAAATCGTTACAAATTATAGTTTTCTTAAGAAAAATAAATTATTTAACAAATTTCTTTTTCTTTGGAAAATATTCAACAAACCGAACGCACCAAAGTTTTGTCAAATATTTTTTTGGGTAAATGTCACTCTGACCCAACCATCTTTCTAGTTATGGTTTAAATGGTCCCTGTTGTTTTTTGTTTCACACTTGAGAGGAACCAAGACTTAGAAAGTAGTTTTTAAAGCCATTTTGTTCAAAGTGGAAGGGTTGATTCGGTTAACATTATCCTAGTCATCATATAAGGTACACACGTCATCGAAATTAATCCACCTAAGCTGCCATGTAACCTGCTCGTTTACTGAGCTTGCCCTACAAGACATATTATATAAAAACCCTCACTTTCTTCTTCCCCTTTTTGTCGTATTTTTTGTCTGCAAAATCACGTTGTCATGGCGGTTTATATGAAGATCGATCTTCACTTTGCTAGGTTTTTTACAAGGTACCCCGAAATTAGTTATACAGATGGAGCAAAACAAAGGTTCGAAGATGTTGATTTTGCTGGAAAGGACAGGAACGAGTTTGTTAACTTCGTACAAAGATTTGCAAATGAAATGTGTGTAAATGTTTTTTATTGCATGCCTGGAAAAGACTTTCCTGATGGATTGAGGATCTTGGCTACTGAAATAGACTACCAGGACTTCATCGGAGCTGGGTATGCTGCTGATTGTGTCGTGTATGTGTACATGGATCATCTAGGTGTGAATGTCCAACAGTGGATTATTGATGAGCAAGTTGATGAGAGCGTTGTGGAAGACAATCATTATGATGGATTTGTGCAGAATGGCCCGGATGAACTACAAGGTAATGTACACAATGACCTTGAACATGTAGATGACAATCCAATGAATAAGACCATTAACGATGAGTTTTTGAGCAAGTTATGCCCAAAAGTCCAGTCAACTCCAAATAGTCCGCCTTATGAGGATCCATATCTTCAAATGGAAGAAAATGAGGTAAATATTGAAGAGGTTACTACATACAATGAAAATGTGCATTGGAAAAAACAAAAACCTGTGTTAGGAATGCGATTTCATAGTCCAAAACAGTTAAAGCTTATGTTATGTAATTATGCTGTTGCTAATGGGTATCAGTTGTGCTATAAAAAAAAAATGACAGTAGAAGACTATTAGTTAAATGTTGTTC